CACTCGTGATAGGATACGCGCTAGGGTTTGAATGGGAAATACATGAAAGCAGGCACTAAGAAATGCAGAGTGTGATCAGGCAGGTATTTATCATCAAACCTTACATTCTTTGGATCAAGCAAATTTGTTTTCAGAATTTTCTGCTCTACTCTGAGAGTATAAACTTAATCTTAGCACAGTTTTTTCTGTTTCATTTCTGCAAAAATTCTACAGCACTAGAATCATGGTATTTCAGCACTCTGACTTTACTAAGCTGCAAATAGTTCTGAAAGTTTTGAATTAAAAAAAAAAAGGTCATTCCCGGTTGCTCGCAAGACTGCTGCGAGTTCAGGACAGTTGTTTACCATGGCTCAGAATTCTATTACAACCACTCAAAGGAAAACTCCGTGATGCCTTATCAATAAGTAACTTTCCCACGGTACGGTTTGGGTTGGTTTTTTATGTACTGCTGTTAAACACTCACGCACAGCTCAGCTTTGATTGTAAAAAATGTTTTAGCAGTTCCTTTTAGTTTTCCTTTGTAAAATTAAGATGGATGGATCAGACAGAGAGGCTCTTTAGAAGGCCTGATCATGCTGTCATATTGCAGATCTATTTGTTTCCTCCTGCCTGACGAACACCAGGTAAAAGACGTTTTATATTACAGTCTGTCAATTTTTATTAGTAGTAAAATGTTAAGACGAATTCTTACAATCAGGCCACCATGCACTCCGCTTCCTCGAAGGTTTGGTGCGTACTCTGCCAGATCGACTGATCTGAGCCATTCCATCACTCTGTGATTGGACCACTGCACTACTTCAGAAGGCGAAACGTTATTCTGTTAGAGGAACCAGAAAAGATGATGACAATATAGCCTGCATTGTCACTGCGTGTTCACAATACGTATCCCTCAGTTCAGACAAACACATAATTCCCCCTCTTCCTCAAAGAGCAGTATTTTTTCCCCAGTTCTCAGGTATTGTTTCTGTTCAAGGCCTCTTTCAAACATCCTCTGATGAGACGGCAGGCATAGTCCAGTGCAGATGAAACCCCATATATTGCATCAAGTAGTATAACACTAGAGACTGCAGATGCCAGTGTAAAAAAGGGAGCATTTTGAGAACAGTATTATTGCCAGTCATTAATACTAAGAAAATAAGCTATGCCGATCAGGTAAGGCAAAAACTCTACAGTCTTTGAGAGTTAAAAATTAGGACAGGCAAGAAAAACCATTCAAATTCTTCTCTTGGAAGTTGAATTAACTTCCTTAAACTCAGCAAACTATTTCTAAAGGGAAGTGCATGAGATTCAACTAATAAGTGATCCAAGCACTTAAGGAGCAAGTAGATTTTTATTACGGGTGAGTACATGTTACATTCCAGAGCTGGAAAGCAGCACGTCTACTGCTTTAGACGCTATTCCCTAGTAGCAGTGATTCTATTGTATCATTGTACACTGCTAACTTTCCACCCCCTTTGGCTGCAGGCAGGTAATTAGTGCTTGTTTAAATTAAATTACCGAAATATTCTTTTACCTCCTCAACTGGTCTCCTGCGTAGACAGTGGGGGTTAAAACTGTTGACATGCAGCACATGAATTGCACATTTAATGCTCAGATGATGCAGCTGACTGGTGACTTTCAGGAAAAGAAGGTCATTCTGTAAAGGAGAGAGCCTTCTAAGTGGCACAGAATACATACCAAAACAGGTACTTTGCCCAAGAAGAAAAGATTTTAAGCTTGCTATGTAGTTTTATATAAAGCACAGTAACTATGGTTTAGAAAAAAAAAAGGTTTATACTTTAAAGAGGGTTTTTAGAGTGGTGGGGGTTTTGTTTGTTTGTTTTTTTAAACATTGCAAGACCTGGCTAAAAAACGAAGGAGAACTTGTAGCCTAGTAAGTAAACTCCAGTCTCGTGGATAGTTTTAGAATATTTGGGCTGTTTCTGATCTGGGTAAGACCCTGTTGTGGGCAGGATCACTGCAGGTAGCGACACAGCCCTAACCACGGAACAGCAGGGACCACGCTCCTGTAACAACGGCTCCTTAAGCAGCGCAGGGAAGGCTGTACTTTTGATAACAGCTAAATTAGGCATTTTTTTCATAGCACAGTTAACAAAAGCAAATAATTATCCAAACCTAGGCAGGGAACCTAAGAAAACACAGTGGCACGTGTAGTGCATGGTTTGCTGTTAATGCGGTTGGAGCTGTACAAATTACTGGATTTGCTGTTTAGTTTACTGAATACTGATGCTAACTTGGTGTGGAAAACAACACGCTCCAGAAGCTGCATGCAAAATCAGTCATTTTACCTTTAATCGTGGTGTGCTATACGGTATTGAAAGAAAGACTTTGCAGAAGTCAGCTATAACATATCCTATAACTTATTTTACGTACCTTCGGAATAGTAATCACGCACTCACTAGACAACACAAATGAGTTACTACTGGCACTATTTCTGCCTTGCAAAAAATTCTTTAACTGCTCACATTCAAAGGAAAATTGTAAACTTCTTTGCTTATTCTGAAGCTAAATTTGGTTAAACTGAGGAAAAAGGATTTTAGCTTACCACAGTTAAGTACTGCAACATTCTCCCATCAACTCTGGATTCATGAAACTGGTCTTTGTACTGAGGTAAACCAATGTCATCAAGCCATCCTGCGGACACAAGAACAGCGGTGTACCCAAGTCCAGACCAGTGAGAATGAAGCCCTTCTCCCCTTCTTGTCTGGGCTGGCTTCTTCCGAGACATTCAGGTAGAACGAGCTACCTATTCGCCTTTCCAAAGGACGGTCTCTTACCAGAAACCTAAAAGCAATTCCCAGCAAACAGCTTTGTCCACAATACCCCCGCGATCTTTTACGTACGGGGTGTGACTGAGCGCGTACCTTCTGCAGCATAATGTAGCTCTTGCTAGATCGTCCCCCCACCCCTACTATATGTGAATGACAGAGCTCCCCTTGGAGATCGCACCGCATAGCTGTATGCTTGGACGTCAAGAACAACGTGAAAATCCATTCTATGGAAAATTTTACTAGGTTGAAACTTAGTGCTCTTAAACAGATGTTTGGTAACCGCTTTAACAAACCTGTATCAGGCAGCCCATCCACAGGGGTAGGGGAAATTCCACGATAGTTCAAACACTTACGTGTCACCCAGATATGATCGAGTTGTGCAGACTTCTCATCTTGTTTTGCATTTATTGATTTAATGGCCAAAACTAATTTCTTCCTGTGCAGTGGATGCTTTATTCCCATTTCCTGCAACAACAACCGTTAACAAATAGTTTGCCTTGCCTCTGGCTCTTTTCATCTCATTAGGCATCTACAAAAATGAATACTACGTATTTCAGAAAAGCAGAATTGCCAATTGTTTGAAGGGGCCTGGTTGTACAGAATCAACGTGTATGGTTGCTTGAGAGAAATAGTTACAGGTCATTACCTTTTCCATGTCCTGCGGTGTCGCAGTTAACAGTGTATGGCCTGAAGTCACCCACTGCCGTGCAAAAATGACGTACTGACCGAGACCAAAGTCCTCAAGCCAGTTACAAACTCTTTCAGTGCTCCACTGAGCAAACGGAGCATTGTAGTCGCTGAAAAGTACAAGAAGTGTTTGAAACTCTTAAAGGAAGGAATTATGGTTATTATCAGAAAGCTCATCACATGCCAGAGGCAGTATTACAGCGTACGTTTCAGCGTGCTTTGTTCTATGCAATAATAAAAGCCAACAGCCATTTTTGCGGTATGGGCTGTGGTACTGGTGTCCTGTTAATGTGACTGCCCAGCCTCGGCTCAGGAACAGCTGGGGCGGGGGGTGGGCGGAGAATAAGAATTCTCCATTTTCTGTATGAAAAGAAGAAAAAGGGAATTGCTGAATCCTCATCACTTTGCAGAATGATAAGAGTTCTCATTCTTTAACAAGGTGACATTTTTTGACACCCCAATGACAAGCTAGCGCTGCAACCTGCAGCTGAAGGAGTGCAGCCAGGTGAGCTACTCGGGATACATTTCCTACCAGAGAAATTCCTTCCCGTTGTTGTGGAATTCCACATGTAATGAAGTATGTTGGGAAAAACATATTTCACAAGAGGGGGTTTGGCTGTTGAGCACATTTAACAATACCGCACAGTATGCTGTGCAAGGTAAAGAAGGAACCATTACCTTTTCTGGCCTTTGGTTTCCTTTGACCTGGATAACCGAGGTCCAGCCGTTGCACGGAGACCACCTCTTCGAAACTCTGCCAAACCCAGATCGTCTGCAGGGAAGTTACCTGACTGAGTTCTTCTTATTCTTTCAAGACAAGAAGGAGTGCCAAGATAGTACTATTAGCTTGCAACAGAGAACGTTTGATTCATATAGAAACTATAATGACAACTAGAAGCTGTATTAATCTTCCTGTAAACCACAAACATCGAATTCAAGTGGTAGCTGAAGAAGTTCCAGGCAAGAACTATACTGTCTAGACCTAACTCTGAGGAAAGCAAAAAGCTCCGCAGAGCAGGCATAACCCTTCAACCCACGTAATAATCCACACCGGAGGCCAGACTCCTAAGTGCCTGCTGGCCTGCAGCAAACACAGCAAACACAGTAAAACTCAGCCCCCTGCTTTTTGTTTCTTCTATTTTCTCTCATTTTTTACCTGATGGCTCCTATAATGAACAACTTGCTATCATTTAATTTTTCATAGCTAATGAAACCGTTGGCATTCTAAATTATTAGGCATTATAATAAGACAGCAGAGTGCTGTCTTATTTCTTCCAACAGCAGGATGCTGTGAAACACTACCATCCGTTTTTCCACACCCACGTGTACACAGAGACACCCCCATACGCTCACAGAGCTGCCTTCTCTCCTTTTTCCTGAATTTTACTTTATTCTTGCTGTAAATAGTGTAGCTTTTGCTGAGAACTGGATTCATTCTCAGCTGAAATATTTTGACAGGGAACTGAAAAAAAAAAAAAAATAAATTTTCTTACTTTCCCCAGATTTTCTTGATCCCTTTTGGACTCTTTCTGTTTTCTGGAGACAGTGGAGACTGTGGACCTGAATCTGTTCCCGAAGAAAGCGGTGAAAGGTCATCCGACAGTACTGTACCGTCCACGTTCTCTGTTTCTCCTGGGTCAGGAACAGTAAGAGAGTCACATTTCATCTGGGAGGCTAATATTTAAATGCAGAACATAATAAAAAAAGTAAAGATATCTATAAAATTGTTCTAGTATAAAACAAACATGCTCAGAAGGTGAAAAAATAGTAGCTGTAACATTTGATACAAAAAAAGAAAATAATAAAACACTGGGTAAAATAGTATTGTTATTTCAGTCATTTGTATTTAAATACATTACTTTAATCAATTCAAGGTCTTCAGGCTGAAGCAGACTCTTCAGAGACTCTTGCCTTGCCTATGCTTAATACCAAAACTCCTCCATCCAAATCAGTGGGAATTTTGCTGTTGACTTCAGTGAAAACAGAATGGAACAAGGAATAAGTATCTAAAAAAAGCCCATCCGAATGCCATACAGCAAAAGCTGTTACTTCCTTTCAGCACTGCGCTGAAGGAACTCGGTCTGGATGGCCCACTTGGTATTAGTCATTGACAGAGAAGAGAAAGGGAGGGAAAAAGGAGAGGAAAAAAGTAAGCAGCAAAATTCACGTTGAAGTTGCATCTTGTTTGGATACAGTACCTAGCACTGGTGCACTGACACTCCTGATGCGATCTTCAGTCATCCCAAGAAGCAGAAAGCCAGATGAAGAAGCAAAGAAGATATAAAACACCAGCAAAATAAAGTTACAGAAGAGCAAAGAAGTAAGCTAAGCATTAAAAGCAGAAACAAAAAGAAAAGAAGCAGTTACGCTTGACATGGAAGTGAATATGCGTTGGTATGCACAAGCCCCAAGAATTCTGTATGGGTCATCTTAAATAGATAGGGATGATCATTTCTCTGTTGTGGGGGTTTTTAACTATTCTTAGACAATTTTAACATGCTAAGCATATACTACAGAGCTCCATAAAGCCTGCAGAACATCTGAAATGAAGCAATATCTAAGACTGCACTGAATTCCTCTGAAATATAGAATTGGGGGTGTAATGAGTTTACTGCACATGCAAGAAACAAACCAACCTGCATAAAAAAAATTCTGCTAATTCAGTGTAATTGAGGAGTCATTGCTTGTTTCTAGAAAAAGAACATTTTCCTTTACAACATCACCCATCCTTGGGTAATCCTGCAGTTAAAAACGTAATAGCAGGGCTCATGCATTGCCTACAATGTAGCGATCACAGAAAAACTCTTTAAAAAAAAAAAAAAAACAAAAAACGTAAACAACCCACAACCTACTGAAATTTTGAAACTACAGTACCCTACCACCTTTTAGGACCAGGAGGCCTTAAAACCAAAACACATCCCCGAAACGCAACAAACAAAAACCCCCACCACAACTTTTAAAGCGTAGGAACACTTCAGAATCACAAGGGGTACTCTTGTGCCCGAGCTCCCAAGCTCTTCAGTCCTTGGCAAATATCTGGTGCTGTGCCTCATCTAATACTTTTTGTCAGTAAATCGATGCTAAAGATGTCACTGAAGAGAAATTAATGTAGGCTTCCACATATGGCTACGCTGTGGAATAACAACATACTTGTATTTTCAAAAGTCCACTGATGTTTTACTGCACCTAGCAGTCACTTTGCGCTTGTGAGTCCCCACAAGCTACGGCAACCAATAGTGCCGATACTGGCATTTTTGCCTGAAATGCGCACGTTAGTGCTTGCTCTATTGTAAAAAGTTTCACACACTAAAACGCAGTGGGATGGCAAGGGATGGGTTTGTTCATTTTAATACACCGATCTAGTGTACGTTTTTTTTAAAAGTCTAGACGATGTACTTGGCTGGGGGGTTTTATTTGCTTGCTTGTTTTTTAAGGAAACAGATCAGCAAACTCGAGGGAGCATTGCAAGTGTGTCTGGAAACAATACTGCTTATTCGTATTGTCAATATGTCTGCATCTCTACAAGTCCCAGTTTTTAGTTACAGATTTGCTGACTTTCAGAACGCTCTCCCCACAACCTTCAAAACTGTCTCTCTTCTTACTTACGCTATCAGTGATGTCAGCAACTTATATCATCAAGTGCAACAGAAAAGAACGCTCTAACTTAAAACCGCCCTTTACTCTCCAGTGAGCTAATGTGGAATATTTTTGGTACATCGTTAAAAAAAGTAGCAGAACTTTCCCTAACTGCATCACGTGAACATCACAGCCCATCGTTCTGGCACAGCAGATTACATACGACGGTATGTCCCAGCCCCTCAAACCGTTTGCCTTGTTCCCTTCTGCCCCACCCCCTCAGCGAGGCGTGGATACATACTTAGGCCCAGGATGCCGCCCTCCTCGGTGTCGTTCACGCCACCCCCGTCTGGCAAATTATATGGTCCCTGCTCTCCATTCTGTACAGGTCGAGGCAGCTTTCCTGGCAAGGTTTGATACTTGCTGCCCTTCACAACTGGCTTAGTCTGTTTTGTTTTTTTTTAAAGAGGGAAAAACCAAAATAAATAAATAAATAAAACCAAATCACTCATAGCGTTTGCAATCCAGTACACAGCATTTTAAAAGTTGAGAAAATGTATTTGAAGTTCACGGTTCACAATGACACCACCCCCTCCATGCTCCTTCTTACAGATAATTCAGTTTAAATCCAATAGTCAGCTAACAAAGTTTTCTAGCTAAGACACAGCCTTCTCATCTGTCCCTTCCACTTCAGCCAGACTGTTTATTACATTAAAATAGATGTTGAATATTACCTAGTTTTATCATAAGAATTTTTCTAGCTGTCTCCTTTTCCTCTAGGACCCTGGCACCATATAATAATTTGGTCCCTCCAAGGTCAGCTTTGATAGTGCCAGAAATGCATTTAGTCACTTCTCAGCCCGTTCTTTCCCCCTGTCTTTCACCAGACTGGCTCTGTTCCTGCCTCACAATTGCATCTCGCTGGAATTTACACCAAAAGTATTTGTATAACTCCAATTTGGTCAAACATATTTGCCCATCACCAACAGTAAAAGAATCAACAATGAAGTTAGGCCGCAGAAATTTCACTTCTGTAAGAATTAAGATCTCTTTGTATAGATAACATTACAAATGTGAGGTTTTAAAAAAAAAATAATTATAGCTAAATATATAGTTGCTAAATATATAATTGCCAATTCTATTGCAGAACCTAAGCATAAGGTATACTTTTATATACGTGCTGGGAAGAAGCAGCATAGACTGAGCTGTATTTTAGGGCTAGTCTGAATGCCGGCTGACTCTACAATTTCTGACCGGTCAGGCTGAAGGAGTCTAACGTACGCTTGCCTGCAGCTATGGTCCACATACAGTGTCACTAGCACCAGTGAGGTAACTTCTGCTGGGAGGACCTTCCTCCAGCAGCAGAGCTCACAAGAGGTGGTCCTCAGAGTCTCACTATGTTGTATTGAAAGGGAACTGGTACCTGGGGTTTGCTAAAACTACTATATCGCTTAATTTTTCTTGCATTCAGTTTTTCAGTGATCAATGACTTGGGGATCTTGCTCCCTGTACAAGGGTAGACTAGAACTTGCGTATAAATCTGATCGTTTTGAGCCTAACAAGATGCTTTTCAAGCCAAAATAAGCATTTCAGAGGTACTTGTCTGCAGTTTTGGAAACGACATGTTGAGACTTCTTCAATACTGAATCCAAATGAAAAGCTGAAGGAGCCATTGCTCTGGACAAAGATGTCTATCCCACAACTGGCAAAGCTACAGCAATATAGAGGCTTTTCCAGGGAAGCAAGGAACCCGCAGCTCCAATTGACATTACTGGGCGTGGCGTACATTCAATGCGTGTTTTGGAATAAGCTCATATTGGTGAATGTTTCACTATCGGAAAGGAAGTTAGGTAGGAAAACTTTGTACTGAAAACACACAAAACATATTTAGTATACAGAAACACATAGTACGCTCCTATTTAGTAACCCCGTTCTAACAGAATTATTTTAAAACATTTAAAACATTGTCTGTGACAGGATGATACATGAAATATGTAATGAGATACCTCTTATTTCAAGGCCTAGAGGGATCTTTGTGATACTATAACTGCAGCCCAGATGCCTCAATTCCTCACCCCCTGCTCCTGTTTTGGCAACCGCAGGAGTGCATCCTGACTTGTACCAAAAATTATAGGAGTAGAGAAATTGTCTATTCAATTAGCACTGTATTTTCTGAAATTGACTCGCTTCAGCTTCTAACCTCACGTAAAAGCTTTTAGATAAGAAAGATTTCCCTCTCAAATCCTTACCCCTGTTCTCAGAGTTTGTCAGTACTTGAACTATGCAAACATTTTAAAAAGAAAATGAAAATAAAATGAAAACACATCCGTCCCGTCACAGCACATCACAACAGATAAATGTTAAGAGAGTTCACAGTTAATATACCTCTTGTTCTACAACAGGTTGTACTGGTTTCCCGTCTACATACTATGGAGTTGCAGGGAGGAGGGTAATTTCAAAGTTTTATGGAAAAAAGCAACAGACAAATGTTAGTATTAACATACATACACAGAACATCAATTGTAGTCTTATTACTGTTGTGATGCTACTTAATGCATTGACAATATATTACAAGGTCTGTTATCTCTTCATTTCATTTCAAGAAAACATTTAGTACTAAATGTGTTTGTTCAAACTACTCTACAAAATTCGGGCCCTGTTTAGGTTCTGTTGTGATCAAAGGAATTTTTCTATTTTCAGTCTTCTGGGTGGGCCCTTTAGACTTACTTTAAGCTGGGAACACACCAGTCATTTAACAGTTCAAACAATGTGAAAGTGACTGACACAGAAAAAGAACATACGCAATACTGTATGTATCCAGCTGAACCCATAAAGGGCTGTGACAGAAATGAAGTGATCAAAATACCAGCACGGCTAGGTCAAAATACCAGCACGGCTAGGTCAGAGACACCAGTGTGTTTCAATTTATTGCTATTATTGCTGGATGTAATTGGAATTTGAGTTTTGTGCAAAGTAGAATAGCTCCAGCAAACACTGCTGCTAGCACAGGTTCTCTTGGGCTTAACGCAAGAAGCAAAGCCTTGTCATGCTGAGTCAGCAAAACAAGTTTTCCT